CATAAAAACATTACATGAAATAAAATAAAATGAAATTTTTTTTTCTAAAATCTGAAATTTTTTATGAAAATCATCCCCCCACACGCCATATAAAGTACAAAAAGAAAGTTTTCGTTCCTTGTAACACATCATTTATGGCAAATAAGCTTCGTTCAACCAGTTTGGAACGATTTATAAGACGGATTAAATCTCCGCTTACGCGTTAATAGCGCGAATTATATCGCGCGTTAATTGTCCCAAATTGGACCAAAATGGCCAAAATGGCAATCTTTAAACCTTCATAAATTTACGAAAAATGATCACAGGTAAAATATCTTTTCAAATTTAAGCTCAGGTCAACAATACCTTTTGAATGATATAAAAAAATTCTGTCAAAAATGGCTAGTTAAAAAGTCGAAATTTGTCTGAAGAAAAAAAAACCCACCCCGAGCACAAATATTCCGTTACTTTCGTATCGAAAGTCGGAACAATAAATTAGATTTACAGCACTTAATTTATCATTCGAGTTTTGCTGCATTCTGATTCGTCAAAAGTCTGACGAACTTAAGCAGCTTAAGAATGACCATTTTTCTTGAAAGGCGGGGGGACGTAAACATTAAGTAGATCCGAAATTATTAATAGCAACCATTTTTGGAATCAGAGGTTTAGAGTTATTTGTTTGAGGTTGATCATACTTTAGATTCATAGTTTTTGTTGGTTGTAAAAAGTCTTTCTGAATAATTATTCTCCAAAAACTTCCTAAGAATTTTCTATTTTGGTTCATTTTTTAATTTCATCGGCAAGCGTTTATTTAGTTCTCGACCACCAAAATAGAAATTTGCTTGCCTTTTTCCGTCCAAAGAGCTGAAAAGATGAAACTGTAACTCTACTGACTACTTATTTAATGACTCCAAAAAAATAATGACTTCACGCCAAAATAAAGTACACCGCAGAAAACATTCATCTTTGATATTGCAAAACTTTTCAGTATTCAGGAATTAAAATTCCAAAAAAGTCATTTAAATATATTCCTCTATTGCAGAGAAATTATCTTTCTGCATCATCATAACTTTCCTAAAAAAATTGTAGGTGAAATAATTTTATAAATTTGAGACCGAGATTACAATTTTATTTTTATGATAAAAGCAAATTCTATCAAAAATTGACAAATTGTTAGTTGAAAAGTTGAGTAATGTCTGGTTGGAAAATCACTCCGAGCACAAATAATCCATGAGTTTCTTCCAAGTCGGAACAATATTAAACCTGGGTTTCAAAGGTTCTTGCCTCGTAGACGTCGGAGTAATAAAAAAATTTGCCGCATTTTAACAAGCATATTTTTTGTATCACAGTTACCTTACAAACGCCCATAACCTCTTACGGTGACTGTCGAAGATATCAACTGCGTCTCCTAAATCGGAACCGATTTTCAATCCATATGCCATTGAGCTATTTTTCCCAACAACTGTGACAGAAACACGCTGTGAATTGATTTTTGTGGGAGGGGCGGGGAAGAATTTGGGGAAAAGAGTTTTTTCATGTGACTAGACACGGAAACACCTTTTGAAGACACGGACTTCAAACGGGGCGAGTTCAAAGCCAACACGAAGTGATTAGGCGTTCACTGCCCCTAAATTACAATATCTCTATTTTCTGAACCAATTTGGCGCTAGAAGTTCTTTCCTATTTTGGATTAAAAAACGGCCTTGTTTTCTAAAATTGATTTTTTTTCGGACCTTAGGAAAAATAAAGACACATCAAACTGATAAAATTTATTTTACCTGAATGTATGTCAATCTACAATTCATGCGACAACTTTCAACAAGTTTATGTCAATAACTATGCTAAAACTACTTTCATTTGTCAACAAAAAAAACCGGCCATTATTTAAGTTAACAGAATGCTCCGAACACATTTATGTTATCCAAAATTCAGATAAAAAACAACAAGCTTTTACCTAAAATATAATAGAGAATAACTATTTAATAGAACTTAAAATTAGATTCTTGACTTTCTTTAGGTTTCTTTAAAATTTTTCTTGACTAAGTATTCAGTATTGAATTAGCTTAACATATTCAATTCAACGACTGTGACAGAAACACGGTGTGAATTGATTTTTGGGAGGGGCAGGTTTTCTTGACTTATTTAAGATGTTAAACTATTTGTTTTGTTTTTCAACAAGTTTGATCAATTTTTCGAAAGCTTTTTGGCGATGCTTAAGCCATATCAATGTCTATTTTTGAAACTGAAGTAGTTGGATCAAATACTTAAACTTAACTAATTGCTCGCGTGAGGGCGACGCCCTGCATGTCGCGGCTGTCTTTTAACGTCAAATGGGATATAGTTTTCATATAAAAACGTAACGGATTATTTAAATAATTAATTGGTTAATTGATAACGTGTTAATTAGGATAAATATTAAGCTTTGATTCAGTTTAGAAGGATTTCTCAGCGTCTTATCCGTTAAATCGCAAAATTAATCGCGTGTTAATTCCCGCCGGGGAGTTCCATAATTAAAAATCAATCCAGTTTGAATTTTAATGTTTCAGTGCCTGTTAAAGCGAAAAACAATGTTTTGTGGTCAATTATTAACAAATTTTATTGCAATTATTTTAAAAAGCAAGAAAATCTATAGCAAATCAATTCTAATCAGTTTTTGTCATTTTCATAGATACAGACAATGAAACTCCATTATAATCGATTTTTATTCTATTTTATTGGAATGCAAGTTTCAATGCACGCAAAGTCTTTTGCACGTTTTAAACTAAAAGTGCTTCTATGTCTACCAGGTGCGGATCTAGAAATTTTTCGAAGGGGCGGATTTTCAAAAAAATTTTGAAAATTTTGTCTACATTTTTTTTAAGTCGACCAAATGATTTTCTGAGCTCTCCCAAACCACTATTAAGTTCCTAATTGGACTAAGTTTTCTGCGCCGCAGGCAATCTCTAAAAAAAGGCCAAAAAGGCGTTTTTAGGCACTTTTTCGATAACTTCGAACAAAAAATCGCGTTTTTTCGGCGCGCGCTCCTCCCTCAAAATTAGTATACATTGGCGCCAAAGGCGTCTTTAGAGAAGTTTTAACGTAAATCAGCCAAAAATGGATATCTCGATATAGTACAAAGGAGGGATCCTTTGGGTCGGCAGGGGGTCGAATCCCTGAGTCGAATCCCTGAGGAAAAGGCGCGTCCGCCCCCTCCCCCCAAATCTGATGCGAACTTTTTTTTCTGTGCATGTTTTTTTCACTCTTTTTATTTTACTCAACTTTAATGATTTCACACATTTCATTATTTTATTTAGAATTTTTTAGGGGGGTGAAATAAAAAAAACAATAATATTTTCGCGTGCTAATAAATTGCAGTTTTTTAGTCAAAACTGTCTAACTAATTCCAAAAAATGGCATTTTATATCTGTTTTTCAAAAAAAAGAGTTATGCAGACACAAAAATTGGAATTTATATGGATATTTATGTAAGTATGAAAAAAATGGGATCGAGGCCGAAAAAAATGCAGTTTTGACCTGTTTTTCAAAAAACTGATCAAGAAATCTGTCAAATATTTGGAGGGAGAGGTGAAAATCACAAAGCGGGGGTTTTGTAGTCGGTGGGAACGGCAGTAGCGAGGTAATGGACAAAAAGCCAAACGTTCGGTGGGTTGATAAGGTGAATTTTGAGGGCACGACGCAAAACAAAAATAAAGTGAAAAAAAAATTCTTTTACACTAATTTTAAGTGAGTTAAATTCAGTTCCGATTTTGATTTAAAAAAATTGTTTAGAATGATTTTCTTTTCATTTTGTTGTCTGAGGGCAACATGGGAATCCTTCATAATGTTAACTTTTTAGCTCACAAAAATCGATTAAAAAGATTTTTTTTCCACTTTTTTTAGCGAAAAAAATTAGATCTGTTCAACTCATTTTGGCTTGCCAATAAATTAAATTTTTGATAAAACATGGCTGCTCGTATCAGGTTCTGATATCTTTGGAATAACTTCTAAGCTGTTTGATTTCTTTAGGGTAATTTAAAACTAAATAATGATAGAACTTTCGAAAAAAAAATCAAACATTTATTTTCGATGTTATTTTTTGAAAATTATCACCTCAGACACTATGTAAAGTACAAACTAATATATTTTGCATATAACAGACTGAAAAGCGCATGCCTCAATCAAGTTCCGAGCGATTCCAAACATGGATTAAGTCTCCGCTTACGCATTAATAGCACAAAAATATCGCGCGCTAATTCTCCCAACTTGACCAAATTGGCTTTTTCGAAACTCCTTTAATTTTACCAAAAAAATCACAGGTGACATTTCTTTTTAAGTTGAGCTCAAGTAAAAAATATATTTCAGGTGTTATAAAAAAGTGTTGGTCTGGAGAAAAAAATCTGCAGGAGCACAAATAATCTGTCACTTTCTTCAAAAATAAGCTTGATCAAAGCCTAATTCTGCTTTTTCATCAAACGGTGAATTTGCAAACTGTTCAAATGTTAAACTTCGGAACGTGAGGACTGCTTTTCACCTTGTTTCTGATTACTTTAAGGAAGTTCATCTAATAATCCTGCACCAGATTTTTGTAACGTTGTTGCAAAATTTTGAAAAATGTTTTCGTCCCCTGCAGAAATGTGACAAAACAAATGGAGCAGAAAAATCAAAAAAAGCTAATTTTTTCCTATTTTTTGCAAACTGTTTGCAATTGAAACGTTGCCCAGAAACCAATTACTTTTCTAATCAAACTTGCCCACTTGTGTCAAAAAACCGCTATCGTGGATGAAATTTTCATTCGATTTTGAGTTGCATCTACTTTTCTTGAAATGAATATAAATTAACAGAAATTAGTCAGATTATTTATGCTAATGATATGATTAAATGGACGGTATAGGGCAACTTCTGTCCTTTTCTTGCACAGGTTTAAAAAAACAGACAGATCATCATTAAATTTTGAATATTTAGTAAATCGTACTTTATGTGTGAAATATAACAAGATTGGACTGATGATTCATTCTTTTAAATACTATTTGTTTTATTTCTTACCTGATGATTTAGAGTGTAAAATCAGCATCAAGTTGATAAAAGTGGCGGATAAATATTCAATATAAACAAGTAATTTCATGTTTTTGCTGTAAATTTTTGTTATTTAGAAAGCTTTTATAAAAAAATGAAGAAATAATATAAATTTTATAGGTTTTTTAAGCTTGCTCGAGGTATCAATTCAAACATAAATGAGCTACATTTTTTTCTCAACAAGATAATTATGCCATTTTGAATTAAGTTAACATACCAAAAAGAAAACAAATCAATTCAAATACCAGTTCTTTGACGGAGTGTGTCAAAACCTTGACAATGGACGGTGTAAAAATCTATAATTTCTCAGATCTGCAAAAATATGGTAATATTGTACTGATGATACACACCAACTTAAAAAGAGAGAGACACTTTTAATTTTTCCTTGCGATTCTTTCCCTTGATTTGATTGGTTAAAAAATTGCTTTCAAAGCATCAAATGGCTCTGCTTTTTATACAATGGGAAAAAATTAAGGAGAAATTCTACTTAAGTTTTTTTTTCGTTCCCTCTTATGCGTGTGTCTTGTCAATTCTATAATAGTCATCAATCCGATAAAATGACATTTGAAAAGATGACTTTTTCAGAGAGATTCAATGTGAATAAACCCTCTCTGTATTTCAACAATTAAATGGATTTTAACGCAATGGAAATCCTGATTAATGAAGTCCAAACGCTTAAGTGGATGAAAAATAAGTAAGCACAATTGTGTGATTTTTATTTGTTCAAGTCAACCGAATCTGTCTATTTAAAAGTTCTCTTCGAACAAATATTATGATCATAGAAAAATAGGCAAAATTAATTGATAGAAAAAATAGGAAAAAAATAATTTTTATTATGAAAATTTGGTTTATTTTAGCTCTTTCTTGGACTTTTATTAGGCCAACAGAAAGATATAAAATCTTATTTCCAGGAAATAATGTATGATAAATAGGTTAGATGACATATTCTTACAGATAAAATGCGCAAAAAACTTTAAAAAAATCAATCGAACAGATTGAATCAAGCTTATCAGTGAAAAGACAAACATTTCTAAACAAACACATTGGTCCCAGATCCATAAATTTTTGACATCTTTGAAATATCTTAGAGACTCTTGGCTCAAATTTGAAAAAAAAAATTGCTATTTTTGCAAGTTTTGCCAAAACCTCTTTCAAGATATTTTTGAAAGTTGCTTCATAAAATTTCGAAAAATTTTGAACAAACGAAGATGAAAAAAAATTCTTAAATACTTTCAAAGATTTGTAACAAAATGTTGGAGGAATTTAATTTCAAGATTTTCACAGATTTCCAAAAACTTTCGATCAAGCTTTTACAGATATAGCAAAGATATTTCAAGAAGCTAAAATATTTTCTGCTGCTCTCGAATTTGAAATAAAAAATTTAAAGCACTTGAAAAGTAAGAGAGATAATTGTGGTTGCAGCAAAGCCAACAACAAATGATAAGAAATCACAACTTTAAAATTGAGTTTTATAAATGAGAAGTTCCAAAATCTTCTGATAATTATCACTGTGCACAGTCAAGTCAGGCATGCATGAAAAAACCGCGTCCAGACAATTCGGCCAAAGACAATTCAGCCGATTTGAAAATCAGACAATTCAGCCAAACGCATGCAGAGACAATTCAGCCAGAGACAATTCAGCCAATAATAATGACCGCCGCAGTCGCGCCAACGTGTTGCAAGCTTGCCAACAGAGGGTAGGACTCTATACCAAATTTAGAGCCGGTTATTGCCGCGAAGCGACGACGCCCGCGTAGCGCGCCCACCGGCGACCTTAAACTGAAAAACAACTCCAACTCTAATTTTTTTCTTTCGAATCGTTATGTAAAACTGGCTGAATTGTCTCAGGCTGAACTGTCTGTATATTTTTGGCTGAATTGTCTGAATTTCAAATTGGCTGAATTGTCTTTGGCCGAATAGTCTGTGGAACAAAAAACAACCACCTGAAGTCCAAAAAACTTGAAAAAAAGATTCCTTAAAATCCACGTTTCTCCCATTACAAAAATTAATTTCAAAGTTGTAAGTCAAAAAAAAATAAAAATAAACAAAAAAAAGTAGAAAAAAAATTCCAGTGAACATTGGTTTTGGTGTTTGTTTCAATGTTTCGTAGATGCTTATTAAAATTTACAAAAAATTTTAGCACAGGAATTTTTGAACAGTTTTTTTTGTTTTTCTTTTGCCAATTATCTTTAAAAATCATGAAAAATCTTCAAAGGTTTGCAAAACCATAATTATGTTATCTTTATAAATTCATGATGAATTTGCAAGAGTCTTCGAGATTTTGGCAAGTTTTCCAAAAAGACTTGGTACCTGGGGTGATTTAATTGTTTTGGAAGCCTTGAATTTTCCGCCTGCCTTTTAAAGTCTATGGAGCAGTAATTACATGAAAAACTTAAATGTAATATAGAAAAAATGTATAAAAAAATTGAGGTTTTTATGAAAACAACCCCCGACTAGTCATATTAAGCACAAACTGATAGGTTTTGCTCCTTTTAACAATTAATTATGGCATATAAGCTTCCTTGAACCAATTTGAAACGATTTCCATGACGGATTAAATATCTGCCTACGCGTTAATAGCGCTAAATAGATCGCGTTTTAATTGTCCCAAGTTGGCCAAAATAACAACCTTTAAAGCCCCGTAACTTTACGAAAAATGATCACAGGTAAAATATTTTTTCAAACTCAAGCTCAGAACAACAATAGTTTTCGAATGATGTTTAAAAATCCGGTCAAAAATGGCTAGTTGAAAAATCAAAACTTTTCTGAAAAAAAACCCACCCCGAGCACAAATATTCCGTTACTTTCGTTACGAAAGTCGGAACAATAATAGAAAAGATGTTATCAGTCAAGGAGCATTGCATCGAATATTAGCTTTTTGCTCCAAATTTTTTTGAGAAAGTCACGAAACTACGAATGATCCGAGTTTGATATTCTAAGAAGACAAAGTAAAACTTATTGAAAAAAAATTCTTAAAGTAAGAAACAAAAAAAATCTATATTTGTCGAATTTTTTTTTAAATTTTTCTTCTTAATTTACAGAAAAACTCTTACTAAACAAGGGCTGAACTGAGTGAAAAAACAGCCAAACAGTAGAAGTAACAATAAATTCAATTTGAAAAAGTGTCGCCTATTTGATTTGGGATGTCAGTAAGTTTCGTCTGAGGTCATGAAACTTTCTCTAGACTAGTCTGGAAGCCGACAATATTCAGATTAACCGGCACTAAAAGACAAAGCCGACCGAAATCCAAAGTTTTTCCACATTTCGGATTTCGGAAGAAAAATTAAAAATTGATTAAGGGATGCTCAAGTTCGGGATAATTAATGCATTAGAAGCTTCAAATTTTTTCCTAACACGTAGCAGAGCCAGCACTTTCAAAACCTATAAAAGACTTCAAATTTACACATTAAATGCATATTATATTTAAATTTTCCTGCTCTTAGAAATAAATCAAAATGTTGGACGCTTTTTGCACAGTAGTGCAAAAAATAACCTCCGACAGCTAATATAAACTTATTTTTTAACAAATGGTTTAGCAAATACAATCGACTTTTTTGAATATCAGCTTCATTATAATTTATATATCTATGATTTACTTTTTAAATGTCGGGTTGATTTTTGACAAGAATAAAAGCATAGGTGTCACAGGAATATCAAACATTTCCAACAACGGTTTTTTTTCAAGTACGACACTCCATTAATAAACAGAATCTCGTTTTGAATTAGATTCTCAAAAAGAAACAAAAATCGATTGTAAATTTTATCTTATCTTTTGTTCTTGATTAGCGCAAAAACGCTGCGATCTCAAAATCGTAGAGAGATTCATTACGAACTTAAAATTTTTGCGGTAAGACGCTGTTCGAAGTTGAGTGTTTTGTTCAAGTACAACTTGCTATTTTTGAATGTTCTCGTTTAAGATATAGAACAAAAATCCTCAATTAAAAGAAAATTATCTTACAGATATCTTACTTAATGCACAGCCCTTGGATTTCAAAATTGTAAGGGTTTTGCCTCGAATATATATCTTATGGTAAAAAAAAACACTCTTTAAAATGGAAACTTTTTTCAATCTAATAATTTCACATAATCTGAATTAGCAGTCTTCAAATTGCTAATACTTAAGAAATCGGACATTGTTTTTGGGTAAAAGCATCTATTCATCTAGATTAAGCAAAAAATTTTCAAAAATCGATTGTGAAAATTGAAAAGCTGAAACTTGTCCGAAGGAAAAAGAAGTCGAGTGAGCTTTTCTTCAAATTGCAAGATAATTTTTCAACCATAAAAGTTCAAATTTGGTCGAAGGTTTAAATGATAAAACAAATTTGTGCAGATTGTTTCCGTGACATTTTTGAAAAAATCAATTTTGAAAACTATAGTGCAAAATTTAAAACAATGGTGCAAAGTTTGACAAATTATCTCAATATTTGAAACAAAAGGCAAAGTCTAAAAAATGATTCTGAAAAAAAAACATGTGTTTCTGAAGAGAAAAAAAACCTGGCAGTATGATGTACTCCCTATTTTTTTTTAAGGCTGAGCTTTAATTCAGCAAATCACTTTTAGGTATATAAGAATGGTATGAAATGAGGCCAATTCGCTGCTGAGTCACTGACAATTAAACATGTTTTTCTCGATTCTATCCTTGCCATTCTTATGTGTTCTGTTTGAGCGTCGCCTGCAAAGAAATCTGATAAAAAACTGGATACAAATCAGGGTACTAGTTTACTTGTTTGGTCCCTCAAAAATACTCTGATCCCATATATAAACAAGGGGTACAGTATTTAGGTTAAATCTCACAGTAACTAACAGACCTTGTAGATAATACATAAAAATTAAAAGCAAAAACAAAAAACCAATTTTGTAGCTTATTTTTTCTGGCTATATTTTTGCAAATTTGTAGCATATGAAGAAAAATGACATGTTTACAACTATACAAAAAACAAAAAAGCTCTAAATGAAACATTAAAAACTAGTTTTTTATATATTATATTAAGTGTTTTCATCTTAACACTTTAAAAAAGGTAAATTTCTTTATAACGAGCGTTACTCAAACAAATTGAGAGTATATCTCAAAAGTTTCAAACCAGTTTTTCTCAACATTGGAAAATTTTTTAATGTCGTTCGAAATCACAACTGAAAAGGCTTTAAAATGATCTATCTCTCGACGAATTCCGACGATTATTAGTGGTACCTGATTTTGCATGAAAAACAAAAAACTAAAACACACATGAATACAAAGCTTTTCACCATTTTCGATCTTTGGAATAAAAACATTTGTGATACTTTTAAATCAATGGATGAAATGCTGATCAAAAGACACTTTACACTTTTTCAAATGTTTGGATTGTATAGCGAATTGTATGACACCTATATTATCATCCAGTT